ATTTACTATTTGAAGATTTTATATATAATTTATATATAAATCTTGTATAACCTGCATCACATAGCTCTCCAGATGACCGGTGAATCATCTATTAAATATATATTTATTGCATATTACAATAATTCGTGTATATTTCATAAGATAAGCTTTCTACAAGAAGTATAATAAGATTTAGAACCTGAACTACCTCTTTAAGAGTATGAGATAACTATGGAATAACTACAGAATAACTATAGAATAACTATAGAATAACTATAGAATAACTAGAGATAACTACAGGATAACTACAAAATAACTACAAGATAACTACAAGATAACTACAGGATAATTATAGGATAATTACAGAATAACTACAGAATAACTACAAGATAACTACAGAATAACTACAGGATAACTACAGAAAAGATTTTAATAAAGATTTAATATATTATAGAAAAATTATAGAAAAACTACAAGAAAACTACAAAAAAACTATGAAACAACAAAAGATAATAATAAGTAAATATATTAGATACTTTCTAGCAAAAATTTAGTCTTTTCTCTAAGTAGTTATCCATTATCTAATCATTGTTTGTAGTTTCATAATGCACAAACAACTATAATTATATATAGAAAAAATTAAATACCAGAAGACAAAATGCATATACAATATATTGTAATCAAAATTTACAAATTAATACATGGTAATTAGGAATAAAAACAGCTTGACATGGTTTAGCTCAGCTCAAAACTAAGCTGAGCTAGTCTGAACCAGCTCAAATCTAGTTATATAATATACAAAGTTTGATTTTATTAATATACTATATAGTAATAATACATATATTTAATATTATTATATAGGTTGACTTTAACAGAATTATTTTGGCCTTTATGTATATACAGTATATATATTACTTTTATATAACTATTAATTAAAAATTTTAAGTTCCAGTATTACTACCACAATTTAGCTATTACATGATAGTTAAAAAAAAATCTTTAAAATTATTTATATTAGAGTTAGTATCTGTATTATAGCTAATATATATAATATTGATCATGTGTTGATAAATATTGCAAAATCTGTCTAAACAGACAAATGATTAGCTGGTATGTGCTGTAAAGCAGCACGTATCAGCCAATTATTTGCCTGTTTGAACAGATTTTGTGATATTTATCAATACATGATCAATATTAATGTTATCTAACAACTATAATCATAGCATAATAAAATTGTTATGCCTAATTATATTATCAAGCAGTATAAATAGATAGATATTTGATAAAGAATTTTTTTCAAATACCAAAAATTTTTCTCTTAGCACTTTTTTTGTACTTTATAATATTAGCGTAAAAAAAAAACTCTTATACTCTTTAACTCTGAACTAGGTTATACTTAAAAAACATAACACTCTTCATCTTATATTTTAAAGGCTTATCTAGCATCTTTAACAATATCGTAGATTTTTAAAGACTTAATTAATACAACCAATATAACTAATATAACTAACGTAACCAGGTGTAATTAATACAACTAGATGTAACTAGCTTAACCAGTGAATATAATCACTTATAATAAAATCACAGTTAGTAAGTTTCAAGTAAAATAAACAAAGAATATCAAATAAGAAGCAAAAAACTTCTCGTACTAGCATCAAGTTTTAATTTTAGAATTTTTTTTTGTTTTGCAACTATAATTTCTGATTTATAGTTACTTTTAGATCAAAATTTATTATATAGACATTTAAATATATAGAACCTTTATTGAAAAACTTAAGGGCTATTCGCAAAAATTCTAAAGAATAAAAGCTCTTGGGAAGTTTTGTGTAAATGTTGGTTATGAGGAAAAAATTAAAAAAATAAATTCAAAAGCAATATTAGAAAATCAATTGTTATGTTTTGTATATACAATAAAGCGTAATGATAGTAAAGATTATTATACAACATCTATAAGAAACTGCATAGTAGTGATTTGGTATCACTTAAATAAACATTTAGTTATAAAAAAACCTGTGGATATTTTAAACCCAAAAGTGTACTATGATTTGAATATCATGATAAATAGAAAATTAAAAAGCCTTTTTGCAATAGGCATAAGTGAACATAATAGTGCTGATGGTTTAATGAAACAAGAAGTCGAGCAAATCTTCAAAAATTCTACAATGCAATTTTTCTAAAAAATTATTGTGGCAAATTTTTTTATAATGCTATTTTGTTAGCATTACGTGGTGGTGAACATCAAGATTTGAGAATTGAGAACTTTATAAAAAGAGTAATAAAGGTATAAATATAAAGCTTTACAAATCAAAAACTAATTAAAGAAAGTTGAATGATTATCATGCACAAGTGAAAACAATTAGTCTGCCAAATATTTCAAGTATAATTAATAACTATGAATTTTATTTCAGCAAATATCTGGTAAAAACTGCCTCAAATTTTACTTAAAGCTCTGTGATCCAAATACCTATGAGTATTTAATTTTTATTTTAATAAACAAAACAATTTTAAAAATTCTTATATATATCTATATTTTATAATACAGATAATTTTAATATGTAGTAGTACTTAACTTAAACATGTATTAAAAAACTATTTTAGAACAATATACAAGAATATGAATATTTCTATTGATAATAAAAATATATCCAATTTATATATACCACCGAAATTATTTTAAATTTCAGAATACAAAATTAAAATTTGAAGACGAAATTGTTTTTGATCTATTTTACTTAAAAGATAAAATTTTTTGACACTTTTTTTAAAGAGATGAAATTATAAGGAACATAACTACCTAAATTAGATTTGCTTTTGTATATAAAAATTCTAAATTGTTCTAAAGAGATGAAATAAGTTTTTTTTGAAAACCTATTTTAGTGGTATATATAATCCAATTACTTGAGACAAAAAACATCAGTTCAAATTTTAAAAAATCTCAGATACTCTGATTCAATTGTTATATCAATTACACAATATGGTTATTACAAGGTTTAGTTATATATAAGTATTCTAGATCGACTATGTAGCAAGAAGGGTTGGGTGGCTTTTTAATGTATTAACATTAGTTGTGAATGAATCAGATCAAAAAATAAATAAAAATCAAAATGAAGATCAAGGCAGAAGTAATTTGCAAAAAAAAGTTTAAAAATTGTATAGTGATTTCATTATAGCAAGCAGTTATTCTTTAATTGATCTTGATATCTAAGAAAAATATATTTCAGTAATCATATCTGAACTACTTTCACAAGATATATCTAAACCACTATTGCAAGATATGCCTAAATTATTGTTACAAGATATATCTGAATCACTGTTGCAAGATATGCCTGAATCACTATTAAAAGATATGTCTAAATCATTATCACAAGTTTTATCTAAATTACTATTATAAGAATTGTTTAAATCATTATGAAATCTGTTACATGAACTTGATCAAAATGTTAGGCAAGAAAATAAAAACAAAAAAGAATTATTTGAAAAATTTCTTTCTGGAAATATATTTAATAATTGCATATTTAATTTCAGATCTTAATAAATATTTTTAGTATTAGTATGAATATTCTAATTTCTAAATAACAATTATATAAATGTAAAATATTTGAAATAATAAAAATGCATTTATTTGTTTTTGATATTATAAAATTTTCAAATATTTGATTGTATAATATTTGGTACATAAAAATATCAAGGCCAAAAAAAGCTATGATCATAAGAGTTTGTTGGATAATAAGGGTTTATTAGTACAATTGTATAAGAAAAACTTTTTGTTAGAATATAAAAGATAGTTTCTTATATAAAATTTTGAGCTTTAAGCGATTTTGACAAAATCATACATTTGTTTTAAATTTTTTTATTTATGTTATATTAATCTGATCTTTGGATAATTCTAAAAATTGATATATTGGTATATATATATTAATTAAATTTAAAAATTTACATGTCAAATTTTAATACTTAAACAGTATTTTAAATAGCCTAAATACTATATAACCAATTTACTATTTTTTATAGAGATGATTACTTGAATTCCTCTTAATGCCCTTTAAAGTTAAACTATTTTTTTCTTTTACTATCTTATATTAATTAATGTATAACTAATACTTTTTACTTTAACTTTTATAAAAAAAAATTATTATTTTTAAAGAACTGATAAAATAATTTATTAAGGAAGCTACTATTTTCACTATAGCTTTTTGCTATTTCCACCATAGTATCCCTTAAACTATCTATTTTAGCGGGCAAATTTGCCCGCTAAAAATCGGTCAAAAAAAAATAATATAAAAAAATTTTTTTAATGAAAATCTTCACCCAAATAAGCTAGACAACCTTCTGAGAGTTTGGGCCAAATAGATATCATACGGTTATGCATAATGCATGCCTTTTTTATCCTAAACAAAAATGCGCAAATTTTAATTACGCAAAATATGCCACCCAAAACTGTGAATTATTCTGTGTAACTCAAAATTTTAGATCATCCCGGCCGATTTGACTCTAAGTACTTAACCAAAAAAAACTTAGTGAACACGATTTACACAGTTAACCAATAAAATAATGTCATATTATCAGAAAA